ATCTATCCTCTATTTATTCAGCAGCGATCTTTCAGAGATACTGACTTAGAACTGATTTCTTTTTTTCAAGAACTCAACTAAAGAAACAAAAGCAAGCCATGTGGATACAGAAGAAAATTTGAGAGCACTGCGATATCGTTTGACATATAACAAAGTGCTATACAGCAGGTTCCTTGGATTCGTTTTGAGCGATGATTAAAAATCCAGCTTACATTTGGTAAGAACACAAAACATTTTGAAGCTGTCTTTATATGGTGTTGGATGCTATATATATTTTAGATATCAAAAATGATGTAATAGACCTAATCGGCTAACAGCGTTACCATGTACGTTACCATCCAATTCAAATCCTGTTGGGAAAAGAACTTTTGTTTCTAAGAATTTAACTGTGAAATGAAAATACAACGCGCAATGAAACTTGTTCTCGGATGGTTTGAATTGGTTGGAAACGTTTATAGCAATTTTCCCCAATTTCCTTTGAGAATCAAGCAATTTTGTTTTTCTCAACAATGTTTATGGTGTTTGGTGATCATTGAATGTCATAATTCTTGCTTCTTCAGACCCAAGTGTTAAACGTATGCTAGTGATTGACTGTCCACTTTTAAGATGAGAAGAGAAAATGATGATCCACATTTCAAAATCTTAAAAGGAAACGATCGAAAATAGTAATAAACTGAACAATGGAGATCAATCAAATAATGAGTTGGTTATTAAGTGATTGGTATGATTTTTCAACAAACCCGAATCCTTTGATAAAAGCTATACTTGACGGCAATAATGAACTATCACGTGAGCTAATTACTCAAGGTGTAGACCCCAATGTCACAGATGATGAAGGAGGGACGCCTTTGATGTGCGCTGCATTCAAGGGCAATAAATGGATTGCTGAAATATTAATTGATGCAGGTTCTGAAGTGAATCAAAGAAATCATAGTCAACAAACGGCCCTCTTTTATTCAATCAACGAAGAGGTTACACGGCTATTGATTGAAAAAGGTGCTGATGTCAATGTATCTGAAAAAGATGGACAAACTCCTTTATTCAATGCAGCTGAAAATAATAACGAAGAGGTTGCACGACTGTTGATTGAAAAAGGTGCTGATGTCAATGTATCTGATAAAGTTGGACAAACTCCTTTATTCGATGCAGCTACAAATAACAACGAAGAGGTTGCTCGATTGTTGATTGAAAAAGGTGCTGATGTCAATGTATCTGATAACAATAAAAGAACTCCTTTATTCAATGCAGCTACATATAACAACAAAGACGTTGCACGACTGTTGATTGAAAAAGGTGCTGATGTCAATGTATCT